AACACCCTCAGCTTCCTCAGCCCCTGGAGCCCTGGGGCGGCACTGCCTAGACCGCGTAGCCGCAGCGTAAATGCCCAGATCCCGCCCCTGACGTCACACGGAACCCCGCCCCTTACAGGCGGGAGCGCGCGAGGCTCTGTCACGCAGGCGCGTTCGCGCGGCGTAGGTGGCGCCAGAGACCGCCTGGGGGGTTGTAGGGCGACGGCGCTGCCGCCATTTTGTAGGGTGTTTGTCGCAGCTACTGGAGAGTGAAGACGGCGGTTTGGCGACGTTTCTCGGCTAAAAGGCCATTTGCGTTTGCGGAGGTAAGGTTTCGAGTGGTGCGTGCTGGGCTGGGCGGCTGTCCAGCCTTTAGGTCTCGGAGCCGGGTGGCGGAGAAGCGACCGGGTTCGGGGCCTCGGCGGCTGGGCACTGAGTTGGGAGTTTCTGCGGGGCACTACTCAGCTGGTGGTCTTAAACACCTCAAGTTGCTTAGGCGTCGCGGTTCCGTAACTGACCCCGCTCTGAGGGGTCTGTCCGCCCGCATCGTAGCTCCGGAGGCCCCGGACTCTCCCCTCGCTTCTGGCCGATGTACTGGGGTTTTTGATTAACCATGTCGGGGACCCTTCGAGAGCCGTGCCCTGCGTTTCTGTTTCTAGGGGTCTGGCCCAGCTATTCGTAGCGTTTGGGGGTTTTCCAGAGTTAGGCATTTGCTCCTATGTGTGGGTAAGCCCAAGGCGCTGGCCAGGTGCCCGGGGCGGGGAGGTGAAGACTGGGCCTCCGAGGAACTGCAAATCCAGGTCGTGGAAGTCAGCTAGTGCTTGTCAGCTGTGTAAATATGCAGAGGCTGGTCCTTTGCTCGGTTTAGGACACCATTGCTGCAGCGAATCTACATTTCTGATAGCTTTGCATTTTATTGTCTCTGATTGCTTAAATAATCCTTTATGTTTGTCCGACCCTTAGTAAACAACTCTCTGAGCCGAACCCACCAGCCACTTCGTCTTTATACTGTCTGTTTATGATTGTGTTCCATTCACGCTCCATACAGGCTTGGTGTCCATTAAATGCTGTCCTCATGGAGCAATTTAATCCTAATTTGTGTCCTTGTTTTTAAACCATGTGCATAACATAAAGTTGTTAAAAACCATAGGGCATTTAGAAGGGCGTTGGAGAATCAGATTTCTAATAATGGATATATACATATGCATCCATTGCGTCTTTTTTTTTTTTTTTTAAGATACCCGGTGATTCTAATATGTATTCTTTATTAAACAGAGGTAGTGTAATACTTTCAGGTTGTTTTTCTTTTCTGTGTGTGCAAAGAAACTTTACCACATAGAACGTGAGTCTAGTAATCTTAATCTTTGCCTCTAGGTAAAATATTTCTGAACATTGAGGGTGGGGAACAGAGGGACAGGGACAAACAGCTGAATTAAATTTTAAAGTGGTGAACTTGACTAGAAAAATAAAAATTTGGGACTCTCAGAAGAGTTCGTTCTTATTTTGATGTTTACATATCAACCGGTAATTTGAGAGTTCTGCCTTGTTAGAGAAGTACTGGTTGTGGCGGCAGGCGAACAGCAGAAGGGGAAAAAACAAAACTAAAGCGCATGCATGTGCCTTACAAAAACTGCATAATAATGGCCCTCAGTCATCAGATGTTGTAATTTTGCTTGCTGCTATTTAAGAATGCTTAACCAAAAGCTGAGTTTTGATGTGGTTGAAGTATAACTTGGGTATTTGTAGGAACAGGTCAGAAGAATCGCACTAGAAATATAAATTTTTCTTGATAGCTTCACCTCTTCTGAAGATTTTTTTTTCTTTTGCTTCACGTAAATTGTTGTGTCTTCACTTTCCCATATGGAAGTAACTTTTGTTGGTGGTATTGACACTCTTGCTGGGCTAGAGTGCAGAGATGTCATCATAGCTTACTGCAGTCTCAAACTCTCTGCTGTCCTCTTGCCTCATCCTCTTGAGCAGCTACAGGCTTGCACCACCACACCCTCCTAAATTTTTGTATTTTATGTAGAAAATCAGGGTGTCACTTTGTCGGGCTGGTCTTGACCAACTTCTCTTTTTTGTTGTTGTTGAGACAGAATCTCACTCTGCTGCCCTGGGTAAAGGGCTATGGCATCATAGCTTAGGGCAACTTCAAACTCCTGGGCTTGCGCAGTCTTCCTGCCTCAACCTCCCAAGTAGCTGGAACTACAGAAGCTCACCAGGAGGCCCAACTAGTTTTTCAGTTTTTGATTGAAACAGGTCTCAGTCTTATTCAGACTGATCTCCAACTCCTGAACTCAGGCAGTCCACCCACTTTGGCTTCCCAGAGTGCTTAGGATTACAGGCGTGAGCCACATCACCCAACTGGTCTTGAACTTCTGGCCTCAACTGATCCTCCCTCCTTGACTTCTGAAAATGCTGAAATTACGAGCATGAGCCACCACAGCTAGGCCAAGTTTTAGGATTGTTATTTGACCTGACCAAAGAAATGCCATCTCTTATGTTTCTAAAATGAGCTTAAAAAAAAAAAAGCCATATTATCGGATGCTTTTAAAATCAGCAAGAGAAATGATTAAAAGTTCTGTTTGGTGGCACCAGACTCTGATGGCATGATACATACTTTCTTAGGGAATACCTCGCAGGAGAATTGAAGCTATCTCATCTGATAGCCTTTAATCCATTTAAAGTCATCTAAATTTTTGCTTGTATTTATTTGGTTAGTACTCAGTCATTTGGGCAAGCTGAATAAGGTTAACTAGATTGGTTTTTGCTTTTTTAGTTCCTTGTTGAATTGTGAAATTCCTTTTAATGTGTAAACTTAACCTTGTTTAACAGTTTGGACTTCATTTTTAAACACTTAACTGTTCGCTCTACCCAGGGAGGGCAACAGAGTGACACTTTGTCCCAAAAAAAGAAAAAGAATTAATATGGGGAAAGGCAGATAGGGGTTAAATTGTTTGAGCACAGGTGCTAAGCTGGGAGAGAAGCCAGGCTGTGCACTGGAAATTATAAATGGAGTGGGTCACTATTAGCTGATTTCACTATTACCCTGCTTCTGTGTGCATCCTTGTAGATTGGTTTATTTTTTAGAAACATTTCAGATCTACAATAAATAAGTTTTAATTTTTAGGGTAACTGTAGGATAATCAGAAAATAAAACTGGTTGGATGGGAAAAGTAGTTCATACAGTGACCTTTTTATTGCCTGTCACTTTCTGTGCTGAATACTGTGTTCTGTCTGCCTCTTATTTTCAAACTTGAAGTAATTCTGAGGTTTAGAGAAACAAATGGTTCTTTACCATTAGAACAGAGTCACTTCCCATATTTAGTATGTCTGTTTCTCTCACTTTAGTTTTTTATATTACAGTATTTTGCCAAAGCTGCATGAAATATGGTATTATTTATCTTTAAATCAGCTCACATTTCAATCTTTGTGTTTTTTAAAAGAAACCATGTCTGTAGCTTAATGAGAAGGTCAGTAATAAATAGAAGATAAAGATAAATTAAAATTTAAAAGTTATTTTTAGCTAGATACTCATTATCTACTGAAGGCTTCTAAGCTTGAACTTTTTAGTCCCCCCTTCTTTTATTTTTAAAAAGACAGTTAACAAGTGTTAGTTGAAGACAAAGTACCACACTGAGAATTAGTCCTGGTTATAATCAGAAGAATTTAACGAAAATGTTCATTAAGCTCTTCAGCGTTACCTGTCATTTAATACTAGATCTCTGTGCCACACCAGTCAGATGTGGTACAGTGCCCCCATGCCTTGGGAAACATTACCTAAAAAAGGTTTAGAACTTGTATGATCCCATGTGCTGTCTGTCTATACTGTGTATCTAAATAATATTAATGTATAATATTTTTACCAAACATAACCATCCATATCCTCCACAGTTACCTTTTCATTTCTGTTAACAGATGCGACATTCCAAACGAACTCACTGTCCTGATTGGGATAGCAGAGAAAGCTGGGGACATGAAAGCTACAGTGGAAGTCACAAACGGAAGAGGAGATCTCACAGTAGTACACAAGAGAACAGGCATTGTAAACCACATCACCAGTTTAAAGATTCTGATTGGTAAATTATTCTTGAACTAGCAGCATTTTAACACAAATAGTTCTAATGATTTGTCACTTATATAGCTTTCATGTGTTGAATTGTTTTATAATTCAGTTAACAAATATTCAGAAGATAATTACTGCGTGCCTATTTTAAGCTTGACTCTGTAGGTGCTGAGGCTATAGATCTTATCCTCATATATCTGTCTGTTTGGGAGTAATGAGAGACTGTTTATCTATAAGTCAATGTAAAGTATATTAAGTAACATTGAATCTGGCCATTAAGGTTACCAGTAACATGGTTGCAGAGATGATTTGAATAATGTAAAGTATATTAAGTAACATTGAATCTGGCCATTAAGGTCACCAGTAACATGGTTGCAGAGATAAGTTATTTAACTTAACAAAAACTTAAATAACTTACTTTTTCTTAAGTTAAATAACTGATAATAGAATGCCCAGTAAGTGCCTTTAACTTGCATGTAGGAGGGAGAGAAAAATGTTGGAGTGTTCATTGTGTGACAAATAAGAGAAGATCTGGGGGGTTGGGCTTATTCCATAAGAGAAAAGCAATTTATGTTCATTGAGAATGTTTAAGTGCCTTGGGGATTAGTCATTGACTGTTGTCTACAGGATTTATTTGTAGATAAGGACAGTAGATAATGTTTGGTATTTTAGAAGGTTGCTTTATTCTAAGACTTCTTTGCACAGGCAGTCATCAGTAATTTAGGAAAGGGCCTCAGTAAAAATTTGCAGCAGCATATTTTATTGTATTCTTAACCAGCGTAAAATTCGGAGGTAATACATGCATATGGAATTAAAGGAATCTTAAAATTCTTTTTTTTTTTTTTTTTTTTTTAGCTGCTTACTATGCATTTTTATATACATATTTTTGTTTCCAAAAAACAGTGCTATATAGTACATGTGACATCCATTTTCAAATACAAATATCCTTTTATGCACAATTTAAAATGCTAATATTATCTCTTGTCATATAGTACTTGATACCTTATTTAACTTCTACTTTGAAAAAATATAATTAATAATCCTCAAATACATACCTCACAACATAGTACACGTTCCAAGCCAGAAGACACTCACTCACGTAGTAAAAATATCAAGACAGCCTAGTGTAGATATCCAGCAGAAAACATGGAATCTTAAAATTCTTAATGATTTAAGAAAGGCTAGGTGGATAGTTTCTTTCACTGTGTCTTCCATTAATTTCCCTTTCTCGTTTGTTTTGTTGGTTCTATGTTTTCTCCTTGTTTTGTGCAGATGTTCCATTGGGACTGTTTACCAGATTGCTTTCTAAATTAGCCAGCTGGGGTTACTTTAAAAAACAGTATGTAATTTTTTTCCTTCTCCATGCTAAACAGACGTGTTCTGCCAAATGGTGAGCTTGTTTATAGTCCGTGCAGACTAACATGTTTCATCATACTTTGTTATAAGAGGAAGGTCTGTGGCAGGATTACAATGACCAAAGCTAATGTACAATATACTATAGAAAACTATCTGAACCCCACTATTAATAAATACAAACAACTCTCTAAGGCTTAGCGTCATAGTTTATTATACACTGTATTTAGTGTATTCATAGGTTTGTTATATACTGTATATGTAGCAAAGAAGTGATTTAAGTGACAAACAGTTCATTTGTGTTCACAGTCAACCAAATAAACATGTTACTCAGTCCAGTTAACCACACGGCCAGTGCTCTGTTTGACAGATGTTTGGTGGTAATTGCTTACCATATCCAGAATATTCTGACAGTCTTTTCAAAGGTTAAAAACTTCACAGGAGTGTTTTTAATAAAATTATAGAAAAATGCAGAAAAGTATAGAGAAAACCTTAGTAGGAGGTTTTTAATTTTTAAAAAAACCCATTTTTAATTTTTTTTTTATTTTTCCCCATTTTTTAGATATAAAATTATTTCTAATTATTCTTAAAAATACCTTTTTATCCATATCTTTTCCTGATTATTTCCTGAAAATAGACATTTTCAAGATAAAAGGGCATGAACTCTTAAGTTCTTGCTACATATTGACATTTCTTTTTCTAGAAAGTTTGTGCCAAATTGTACTTTTTTTTTTTTTTTTTTAAGAGACAGAGTCTCACTTCGTCACCCTCAGTAGGGTGCTGTGGTGTCCTAGCTCACAGCAACCTCCAACTCCTGGGCTTAGGCAATTCTCTTGCCTCAGCCTCCGAGTAGCTGGGACTACAGGTGCCCACTACACCACCCAGCTATTTTTGTTGCAGTTTGGCCAGGGCCAGGTTTGAACCTGCCACCCTCGGTATATGGGGCCAGTGCCCTACTCACTGAGCCACAAGTGCCTCCCCCTTCTCATGTTTTTTGTTAAAATAGG